CTAAAAAAACGCATTAGTAATTTTTACTATATTTCCACTTTTTTTAAAAGAAATTTTCCATATTTATGTGTTTTTTATTTCAAAATTTATTTTTTTGTATTTTTTTTCTTATAACAAAAAAAGCCAAGGTTTGTTGAATTGCATTAAAAACAGGAGATAAGCAAGTTGTACCAAAATTCTTGGCTTTCTAAGACTGGTAATCGAATTGTGGTGACTTGTGAGTTTGTGAATGACAAGGATTGGTAGCCTTGGAAAGTTAGGCAGAACTCTGGAGCCCATCTCATGCGGGGGTTGATGAAGTTCTACAGTTAATCAATTAACGCCTACCGAACATGGATGCATGTACTATTTATTATTGATATTTTTTTAAAAAAATTAATGTGTCGATAAAATATAATAGGAATCTATATAATGTAAAATATTAAAAGATTAAATTTATTGATAAAATGAAATATGATAAATTTTAATACAAATTTATAAGGGTATGTTTATTGTTACTACTAAGTGTTTATTTTCAATTCATTTAAACATTTTAAAATTATTTTTAATAACTATATTAATACTACGAGTATTTTACAAATTTTTTAAAAGTTAATCAGTAGCATATGCAATGTAAAAATATTTTATTTTACATAATTATATATAATAATAATATTTTAAATAATAATTTTAAATTTTTTTTAACTTAACTGTATAATCACAAATAATATGTATTAAAATAATAAAATTTCAACACTTTTAAAATAATATTTTTATTATATAGTGTTATCAAAAATTAATTAAATATCAGCCATTAATATATATTTACAACTTTGAATTTACGAGATATGACTATTAAAAGTAAATTTTAAACTCATTAAAAAGTAAAAATAAGACATGTTTTGAAGTATAAAAAAAAAACATATGAAGGTGTTTGAGAAAAGGTTATGAGATAGAGAATCTGAGAATAATACAAATTTTATTAAACAAATGAAAATAAGTAATTTTTGGAAAAAAAAAGTTTTATGGATGAAGGTGAGGATGAGTAATTGTGGACAATTTTCACTGTAGTAATGTAGATAATATATAAAAAACTATGAATTTTATAAATATAAATATATGTATTTATAAGAATTTAAAAAATTTATAAAATAATATTTTTTTTTATAAATATGAATATAGATATTCACGAGAATTTTAAAAGTTTATATAAGTTTAATTTGAGTGAGTTTTAGATAAGTTCTTATAGATAAAAAATTGATATAGAAGTGAACAAAACTTATATCATAAGTTTAAAATATTTTTTTAAAAAATAATTAGAAAAGTAAAATAATTTTTTTAAAAAATAAAGAAGTATAAATTATTTTTAATTTCTAAACAAGTTTTTTTATTTTATACTAATTCTTTTATATAAAAATATTTTCTAAAGTTTATTCAAATAGGACCGTAAAGTAATAAAAAAAGTTAACTAATAACTTTTATTTCTAAAATTAATTTACAACAAAATTCATGAAAGTGAATAAAAAATTATTGCAATAATAGATAATATAATTTATACATCATTTTAAGATAAATTTAATAATAAAAAATATATGTAAAATCTTAAACATTAAAGAAAATGAGAGAGTATAAAAAATTAATAAATATATCTTCACTATTACCATCTTTTAATTATTATTCTTATTTTTTTATCATATCTTTTACTTTCTGTTATTTTCAGCTCACTTTATATTCATTTACTGAGTGTGAAAATATCTAAACTGTTGAAAGATATATTTAAAAATTACAACAATTATGCCAAACTTTTTTAAAAAATAAATTTTCTAAAAAATTGTAGAAATTTAAAAATAATAATTTAAAGATAAAAAAAATATATTATATTTATTTGTTTTTCCAACTTAAACAAACTTTTTCTAATTTTTTGTGTAAGAGTGGGTAATAAGTCAATTCGAAACTATCCAGCTAGGTCAGTAGCATTGAATTTCATCCATTTGAGAATTGAGACTAGGCTTTGAAGAAACTTTTGATGAACTTCCAACATCATGATCGAAATATATTGTATTAATTCAGTTTGAAAGTTACATTATAAAGTATATTCACTTAGGAGAATAGTATTTTGTTAGGAAGACCAGTAAACTCCACAGAATAAAAATACAAGTACAAAATAATATACATAGGACAGAACACCTCTCTACAACCTGATACCCAGAAAAAAATTTATTATTTTTTAAAAATGACAATTATATTTGAATTAGACAAATGATAATTTTTTTAAAAACTATATATAGTTATATTTATTGATATTTATTTATTTTTAAATAGTAAGCGTTAAATAATATAGTTTTTAATTTTATAAAAATATTTTAATTAACTAATGTTTTAAAAATTACTTATTTTATTTTTTATCCTTATTTATATATTAAAAAACTAAAATTAATGTAATTTTATATAGTCAACTATTAAACTAAATTTTTGATAAAATTAATTTAGTCAACATTTATAATTTAAAAAATTAAAACAAACATTTACTCAACTAAAAACTAAACTATGTTTATGATAGAGAAAAATCCTTCCTAGTTAGTTGTTTGTCGCTTTTTGAAGAGGAGAGAATAAATTAGCACATGGAGTGTTTGATTCCTGTAGGGATGATTGCGAAATGTGTGTTTTCAGCAGCATTAATGTTAGTGTTATGACTTGTCGTTAAGCATCCCAAGCCCTTCAGATGAAAAAATTAAAAACACGTCTTAAAGCTCTGTTACGGAGAGCCACCAAATATAAGTGGGTTTGAAAAAACTCCTGACCAAATTAGTTGCAAGTGAAAAATTAATAAGATATGAGATTGAATTAAATTTTTTTTATTAAAATAATTTTTTAATATGTTTTAAAAATATATATATATATATATATAATATTAATAAAATAATATTTTTAAGTTATAATATTTAATATTATAAATCTATTATTTGATCATTTGATTTTTAATGAAATTTTATTATATATCCTTAAATTAATTATTAAACTAGGTAATAAATAAAAATAAAAAATATATTCAATTATATATATAACTATTATTTATATTTTAATTTGTTTCAAAAAAATTATTAATTTAAAATTAGAATAATACCTTTTAAAAATATATTTATTAAATAAAATGAGATAACATAAATAATAACTCAATTAAATGAATTTATATAAAAATAATAATATTTAATGAAAGTAAGAATCTAACACAGTATTAATTTTTTTATTGGTCTAAAGTCAAAGAGCATCTTTAAACTCAGAATTTAAGATTAAGATAAATTCTACGTTATCTTTAAAAACTTTTAGATACGTTTCGATCCATAATATTTATATGTATATTTAACTGATAATTTTCTTTAATAATAAAAATATATAATAATATATATTTCTTATAATTATATATATATATTACTAAATAAATTTAGAGTATAAATAATACTCTAATCTGTTATAATTCTAAAAGAAATTAAAAATACATGTCAAAGAATCATTAATTTAATTCACATATATAATTTTAAAATATAATTTTTTTATTAATTTAAATTTTTAGATATAATATTCAAAAAAAATTTAAAATACCACAGCACCCCAAAATTAATTCTTACTCAAAATTTAGGATTGTTACGTGAAAAAATTTGAACATAGTAGAATTCAAATAGAATACTAAGCTTTTGAAATTAAATAAAGTAAATGAATATTTTTAACAAAATAGAGAGAGTATACAAAAATTGTATTTATAAACCCAAGCAAATGTTACATGAAATAACCTTTTAAAAAATGTTATAAGTTAGTAAAATAGGCTTATTTATCTAACAAATTTACTTTAGTCAAAGAAAATTTTAAAATAAGTTAATTTATTTATCCTATCATACACAGTCTATATAAATTTGTCTACTAAAATCATATATAAATTAATCCAAAAGGAGTATATTTTACTCAGTGAAAACCTTCTACTTTATTACCTATACTTTTTCTCTAATATTAGATGAATTTTCATGTAAAAATTGTGGCAGTTTTTATTTTCATTCTTACGTACTAGAGTCCTTAAAATAAAATGACGTAACTAAAATAGGGATTAAAAAAAGTAAAACAACATTTTAGATTAAAAAAAAGCCTACAAAAATGAGGGAAAAACTACAAATAACACTATATTTTTCCCTAAATAAATTATTACTTCTCTGTAAATACAAGAAAGAAAATAATAATATCCTATTCAAAATAGTAGAATATGCAACTTGAAAAATGAAATACTAAAACTAATGGAAGAAGATGCATGTATTAATAAGCATTTTTTTTAAAAAAAAAACTCCAACCTTTAATGCCACCGCAAAAATAGTGGGAGATTTATTCTCATTTCTTAACTTGTAGCAGAAAGATCGAAACTTAGGTTCTCACTGTACTCTTTATGATTAATTATATTTCTTTGACTTTTTCATGCCACAAAAAGTGGCTTTACCACTTTCACAGGATATCTGTTTTAAGTTAAGGAAATGTTAAACCAAATGGCACATGCTCAATTAATAGCATAATAGCGTCATAAAATCTTCTGCTCCTATGTAGATTTGCTTCAGTTGCATCCCAGAGTACTCAAGAAAAATTCAAAATATACCCTTTGTCATAACATGGTTCTGCAGAAAAAGTTAACACGTGCTTGCTTTGTCATGTTGTCTCAACGTAAATATTATTTTTAACACTTTTTGGATGCATGTAACAAACACACTCTATACAAATTACATAATAACTGTGTTTGATATAAACATCCAAATGAGGTGTTAAAATAGCGTTACACAACCTATTAATCTAATTGTATTGCATATTTAATTAGAAGTAATTCGCATATACGTGTATAACACAGTCAGTAGCATACTACAAAAACCTTCTAAATTAAACTTCTTGTTGTTTTCCTGTTTCTGGGGATAAACTATGTACATAGACATTTGATAACACATTAACTTAAGAGAGGCTTCTCTGCGTCTAGTACATAGACATTTGATAACACATTAACTTAAGAGAGGCTTCTCTGCGTCTAAGTCACCTCCGTTTGCATAGCCTTCTTTCCCTTTGGCCCAAAGCACAAAGTAGAGCCCAGTGAACATGAGGAGCATACCCGCAGAGCTACAATGCAGTATTGTACTGAAGAATAAGATACTGTAGTTGATAATATACATGATATGAAACATCAATAGCTAAGAATCTTAACAAAGTACCTTCCAATATTAATGGTGTCTCCTAGTGTAACAACCGAGAAAAAGACAGAGCAGACTGTGCCTATGGGGCTGAACATGGAGACCAACACTGGTCCTCTCTTCTCCAGTGCCCAACCATTGAAGCTTAAGCATATTCCAGTCACTGAACCTGCCTGTGTAAATAGAATTTATGCCTTTAATATTAATATCCAAACACCCGTGTCAATGAGAATATAAAACTATTGCATTCAACCCAAATTGAAGCCCTTTAAAAGCTACATTATGTTATACAAAAATCACATGCTAAATTAAGTGTCAAAGGGTATTATTATTTTACAGTAAAAACAAATTAGTATATAATCAATGTTTTTTTTTTCATTTGTATTCAAAATATACATGTATAATATATTAAATTTTCTATTTTTAATAAAAAATTTGTTAGTTATTAATTTTTTATTTTGTACATTTAAATAGACATTAAAAATTATAATATAATTAAGAAAGTAATTTAATTAAAAACTTATTTAATATATTATATTTTATATAATAGTTTATGCCATAAGTTTAAGAAAAATATTGATCTGAATTTTTAGGACTAAGTTTAAACAACTAATAGTAAGATTTTAGTAAAAAAATATTTGGCACACTTTTATATCTTTGATATAATAAATGTGTTTTTTATTAAAATAAAAAATTATTATTTTAAATGTTTAAATTAATTTTTATAGTTTAAGTTAACAAAATTCTCAATTCAATCATAAAATTTATTAAAATAAAATTTTAAAAAATTGATGCGAGTAGTAACTAGTTTTGTAACCTCCTTTCAAATAATCAACAGGAAAGGTACCGAGTTAAAGTGAAATTACCAGAAGAGAATAGCCAATCATATCTCCAACACCCACAAGTGGCCAACCAGTTTTGAATTCGTGATCTTCAAGTAATTTCACTGCTGCAGTCATGAAGGTCCCAAAAAACGAAGTTAATGCACACAGGGACACGGGGGCAGGAAAATCTCCTAGGGTAAAAGCCTGCAAGAACAGCAAAATTTGTTGAGTAAGCAAATTTAATTAATAAAACGTGCGAGTGGAAATGAATATTGTCGCTCTTATTTATTCAAGAGAAATGTTTATAATATATTTTTAATTATTTATTTAAATTGATTAAAATTATGTTATTTTTAAAAAAATAATTTTTATGTCAATGTTGCATGACATTGACATAATTTTAAAAAAATAATTTTGAAAAATAAAAGATAACCGGAGAAAAATAAATATAAAAATATAATAGCAGACCTGTAGGACAATGTTGCATGACAATATGAGGACTGCGACCAAGAGATAGAGGCAGCCGATTAACTTTTGCCTGTCAAAGGTTACATTTGGCGGTGCAGATGATAATTGAATTGTTCCCTCGTTCAAAGGTGTAGGTTTAGAAATGCTTTGCATTATGCTCATTGTGAGAGCCCCTAAGACGCAAAGGAATGTGCCAATGATTTTTACTCTACTATATGTACACCTTAACTTCACTTTTTCCAACCTGCCTAGCATCAAAGTTTTCATTAATCAGCATGGAAATGCTAGCTACAAATAATACCTTATGCATACAAAATCTTAGACCTATCTTTATTCCATCAAATATACTCCAATGAGCTTCTCATTAATGCCTCTTAATAAGTCCAACCGCCCTTTCCCCATTTTTTAATATTTTTTTTTTTTTTCATTTTAGTTTGCTCTCTTTATTTTGGTTCTTTATCTCTTTGTTTGACTTCAATTTTGTTCCTCTTTATTATTTATACTGATAAAAAAAACTGTTATAATTAACAACACCAAAAAATAACTACTTGTGGTGGTAAAAAATTATCACAATTAATAAATAGGGCCAAATTTAAAATGAAAATAAAACAAAAAAGATAAACAAAAATCAAATCAAAATAAACTTAAAAGAATATAAAGTATTGATTTTGTTAAATAACTGAAAAATACATCTTCCTCTGCAATAAAATACACCCTTTATCCTCTAGTGTTAAGAAAAGAGTTGAAATTGTCAAGACCATGTTAAAAAGATTATATTACCGAAAAATCCATGCGATGATGAATATAAGACCTGGGGCAAGGTTTGGCATGGCAGTTCCCATTGCTGGCGAGGTTAGATTGATTCCTTTAAGGAATAAAGACTGGAACATTGTTACCCTGCATACCATGATACCAATTATCAAGAAAAAGAATACGGGCAAACTAGGTATACATATAAGAAATTGGAAACACAAAAAGAAAGGGATGAAAAGAAAATTATTTGCAATATATCATCATAAAATGACGAGTAGAAAGGATTGTAGTGTCTTTTTGCTAGTTTTATTTCTTCTATACAAATAACAATTAAAGATAAATTGTTGGTAAGTAAAATATTTAATTTGGGTGGAACATAACCTGCAATTTAAACAATAGAAAGGAAAGGCAGAAGAATTAAAAAATATTAAAAGCCACTTGGATGAAGTTCAGGTAATTAGAAAATGGAGTGACAATTTAACTAGAAGTTATTGCAAGAATTATACTTGGATTCTGACATTTTCGTTAAATCCAGAACCTTAATGAGTCATGATCCACCACTTTTTTTTCACCTCTTAAACTTTTGGTATTTGAAAGTTTCTTCCAATACTCGCTAATTTGAGTCGAGGTAAATAGACCCACTTATGAGGTAAAGTTCTATCAGCATGCATTTTCTTAAAAAGAAAAATCAAGATACTTACTGCGCAGACCATCATGCTTTGGTGATGATCCATTTTACACAATAACAATTTATGTCGTTTTACTCTCAATTTCCTTAAAATATTATCTACCTTTGGTTATGAAGGGATAAAGTAAGCCTTTGCTGTGAAACAAGAAAAGGATAAGATAGGCCTTCCTTTAATAGAGAGATAAGCACAAAGAACGGTGCCTGCACGTACTCTATAGATGGAAAATAAGGACAAATTTGGTGCTCGACACAAGCAAGATTGTCTTCAGAGAGATCCTAGGGATCAGATATTCCTTAAAATCCATGATAATGTATCCGCCTTCAACAATACCCTAGAATTAGTTTCTTACCATCTTCAACATTTGCGGTGCTCATAATTTCCTGGCCTAACGGGGATTCAAAAACCTTGCATGCTATATAGAACTTATTTGGTGGATTAATTACTAGGATGGACTGAAGATTCTACCAATTCAAAAACTATTTCCATGCCCGGATTTTATAAAACGGAAATTAATTTATAAAGCTACACTTGAAAGTCAAAACCCAAAAGAATTCAGCAAAAAATAAGAGGTTTGAAAACAGGAATTAAAAGAATTAAAAATATTGAAAGAAAAAGAGAGAGAGAATATAATGATGAAGGAAATTGAGAACAAGTATATGGTCATAAGCCCCTACCCTCCAAATGAAAGCAACAGAAGCTGCATAAGCAACTTGAAGCTAACTTTCTTGGGCCATTTACACCTGCAAAAGATACACACGATCATGAAATCTATCTCCAAATTAACAATTAAAATTGCCATGGGATCCCAAAACAGAAAGAAAAAGAAAGGAGGGAAAGACCTTTCATAATAAAAGGCAACGGGGAGAAGAACAAGGAATGTGGCAAAGGAAGTAAAAATGACAAGGGTAAGATAATTGATGCCCAAAGACATAAGATAACTCAAAAGCACAGCATTCCCCGCGAAAACAAGTTGAACCCCTATCAACCCTCCAATTATTGCTACATCTTCCATCATCCCCAAAAATCAAAATGCCTCTCGAGTCTTCTTTGTTATCAAGAGAGGACATATATTGCACCCTATCCTCTCTTCACTCTCGTGCTGTTGCTTCTTAATTTCCTTTCAACTTCCCTTATTGCATTTGTCGGTTTCAGAAAATAAATAAAATAAGGTGGTTTTGTGTTCAAACGTGGTAACTGTTCTGCACCTCCTGCATGTGATCTTGTACAAAATCTGAGTTAGAACTAAGCTCTACCTACCCTTCGTGTTTTTTCTACCAGTCTTCGCCCCTTCTTCGTTTGTTAGGGAATTCAGATGTTGGCTGCATACATACCAAACCTTTCTCTCTCTTATTTGTCTCCTATTGTTCATTTTTTTTCTCCCAGACATAAATAGCGGGCGATGAATAACGTTTTTGTTGTTGTTTGTTTGCTTGCTACATCTAAATCAAGAATTTCCTAAGATATAAAATAGAGGACGTTGTCGATCCCATTTTGTTCTTTTTTTTCCTTTTTTACAAACAAATTTAACTGTTTTAATTGGATTAGGTGCTTCGAAATTTCGTTTTATTGATTCAATTTGTTGCTCTAAACAATATGGTTAAAAAGTAAAAATCAACAAAGCCTTTCACTAATAAGAGTAAATATTTAAACTGGTAATTAGATAAATGCGCTAAGTCAAATTAGTTGTGCTTCATCCATTTCAATGCGCATATGTTTTCCCCCCTCTTTATAGACTTATTAGTTCAAACTTCTATGGTATAACGATTTACGAGAGATTAATTTTTTTTATATATAAAAAATGAATTAACTTATTAAAACTAATAAAAAATAATTATATATTATAAATTTATGAAAAAGATTAAATTACGCCTGCGTAATTTACATTTACTCATACAATATCAATAACTTTTACAGAATGTAAATTTCGTTAATCAAACTGTTAAAATATAATCATATGTTATCTTAATTATTTGTGTTAAATATTATAAAAATTGAATAACTAAAAGCATATAATTCAAAGGTTATTATTTTCATATATTTTAAAAGAATAAATTATAATAATTGTAACGTATATGAATAAGATAATAAATAATTTTAAATATATAATTTATATGATAAAAAGTTTTAATTTAATAACTTAATATCAAATTATTTATAATATTAATAAATAACGTAACAGTGAGTATATCTTAAATAATGATTGAGAGAGACAGTCCCACCAAGTTGTGAATGTTCTCATCTATCCACGTATATGGACGGAGGGTGTGAATATTTTGTAATACTAATCTAATGGTAAATGAAGGTATAATTTTTTTTTATTAATAACATATATATGAAAATGATTTTTATTTTTTTATGATTAAGATAATAACTTATCTTTATTTTTATAAAAATAATTAAAGGTAGTATTTATTTATTTTTTAGTTAAATATATTTTTATTTTTTTTTAAATTATTAAAATTTTATTTTAGTCTTTGATTAAGAAAAGTAATGTATTTTTAGTCCCTTTTTTTAAATTATTTTCTCCATTTGTTTTGTTAAATTAACAAAAATCAAATTATGAATTCATAATATTGAATACGATAAAAAATTCACTTGCTCCAAAAACTATTTTTATATAAAATAGAATTTTAATAAATTTAAATATTAACTTAATTATATGATATTATTTAAATAATTATATATATATATATATATGATTTTTTTAATATATATATATTTAAAGACATACTTTAAAAATTTATACATAGTATATTTTAATTAAAAATAATAAAATATTACATGCTTTAATAATATTAAATTTAATAAATTTTAATAAAAAATAATATTTATTAATTTTTTATGTTATTCTTAAATAAAAAGTGAAAACACACACAAACAATATCATAAGATATGTATATTAATCATACAATTGAAATTTATTTTTATACTAAAAATTATATGATATTAAATAAAATTATTAATAAAGTATTAATTAATTTTAAAAACTTGAATTTCAATAAATAAAATTATAAATTTTATATTAATAATATTTTTCAATAGAGTAAATTTAACAAATTTCACTTTTATGGTAAGTGGGTCTTACGTGTTAAAATTTTTACCTCAAATGTACTTTAGTTAAACTAATCTTCAATAATACATATTATATGGTAATTTTCTAAATTCTTATGCAACTATTTTAAAAAAGTATATATGAATCAATGAAGTACATTTAAATTATATTAAATTAATTTTGATTATGAGAAAAATAACTCAATTTTGGACAAACAACATTGAATTAATTTTGAGTTTCATTTTTATTTAAATTAAAGTTTTTAACCATAATCTTTAGTTAATATCAATCTTTAAATCAATTTTATTCTAATAAAAAATTTATATTTAAAATCAGTCTAAAACTTAAGATAAACAAAATCGTTATTTAATTTATCTTTAAAAAAACATTAAATTGATGTATAAACACGAAACATATTACATTATGCTTGTTAAGCAAAAAAGATTACATTATGTTTTAAATTAATGTTAAATTAAAAAAATACATATTTGATGTAATAAAAAATTAACTCTTAAAAAATAGATTTGGTTTTATTTTTAATAAATATTTTAGTCTAAAATTTTATTTACATACATTATATTTAAAGACTGATGACTTAAAATTAAAAGGTTGTGTAAAAAAAAAAAAGGATGAAGAAAAAGAAAAAGGAATAAACAATTGACTGTCCGATGCTTGTTGGATCGGAATTTAATAATGCAATGCATGGTTTGGCTTTACCTGAAGAAAAGCGGTTCTAGTTTCTAATGATGACCGATTGAATGGGAATTGAAGAACCATGAAGATTGGATTTGACAAATGCACATCATGCATCACTCCTTTTCTGATGTTACCAGCACAACAGTTCCTAAGATTGTGTAGGAGATTATTTGATTCGCTGATATTTGAAAATAGATGGGTTGAATGTTATTTTGAGCCTTTTCTTATTATTAGAAATACTTTTATTTTAAAATATTAATAATTTTTGGTGTCTTTATTTAAATTAAAAGAATAAAAGATAATTTTTTTTTTGAGGAAAATCAAATCACAAGCATTTTTTTTATTTGTGATTATGAATTTTTATTATTGACCCTTTAATGTTGTTGTTATTCTTGAATTGACCATCCAAAAATAAATTATAGTTAATCAAATAATAGATAATTATATCATTAATATATTAACAAAATTAAGAGATAATTTGAGTTTAGAAGTTAAAGAGTCAGTATATCATCTATCCTTTCAATCAATTAATTAAGTTTAACAAATTTGATATTTTTTAATACCCTTATTTATCTTGTTGCTTTGTATGATTATTAATATAACATATAAACAAAATGTCTATCATTATTTTATGATCATTAAGTAATGGTAATGATTAATTAGATAATTAATCATTGTTTTAATATAATTTAATAAAATTAAATTGAGAAACATATAGGTAATTACAGGAAGAAAGCAAAACCTCATCATACTTTTATCCATATCAAATCATTTGTGATTTTTTCATTTTGTGTTTGTTTTTTCTAATTTCAAACTTTATCTTAATCCAAACATTTTTATTTAAAGAATAATAGTAGCAAGGCATTTGAAATGTAATATTTGTGGAAACAATAGTGGAAGGTTTGAAACGCTCTCTTTTACTACAATTAATTAGTACATTTGTCCCTTTGTTAAATTTTTTTTGAAGAATTAAAATCTATAGCAGGTATTTTGCCATATTGCTAGATGGTTAAACATATAAAATATAAAAATAGAATAAATGTATTAGGTGGCTAATACACTTGGTTAGAAATCACAAGGAATATATAGAATTAGCTATCTCAAATAACTAATATATTATGAACTAAACAATTTAGTGTTTTTACTTAGTCAATTTGATGTTACATATTTGAAATTTGATATAGCAATTATACGTATTAAATAGTTAGAGCAAGTAATGAAATTAGAATGATAAGTTTTAAATATTGTTATTAGGGATTGAAATAATCAATTACCGATTTGCAAGATTAAAAACTATTTGACTTTAATAGAAATTTAACAAGGTTTGAATATTTGAGACAAAAACATAAAAGTGCAGTAAAATAGAAAAAAATAACAAACAAAGTGAAGGATTTTAAAAAGAGATTACTAATCAAATGAAGTTAAGGTTAGTTTCACCTATTTGTTAATTACAAAATTAATTGTGATTTAAATTCTTAAGTACTTTAATTGATTAATAATCAATTTCACTAGTTTAATCAAAGTTCAATTCTTTAATTCAATGATTTTAATATCTAATCAATTACCCTAATTTTTAAAGTGTAAGTCTATCAAATATTACATTAAGCAAAAGAAATTAAGAGATCACAAAATAATAAATATTTATTTCTAAAATATCATAAATCTTGAGATTCAAATTTGAGATATTCACTCAAATTCTATTAATGTAAAATCTTGAAAATCAATTCAATTAAATAGTTAATTTAAGAATTGTATAAAAGAAATTAATTAATGTTCAATATAATAAAAAAATTAGAATTTAGATCACAATTAATTTTAATTTCTAAATAGGTTACATCAATCTCTAATAAAAAAAATTCAAAGCATAATTCTAAAAAAATGAAAAAAAGAGAGAGTAGAAGAGTATAATAGATTTAGAAGATTAATTGATCCATTTGTATATCTTTCTACTGTGCCTTAACTAGTTTTTTATTGAAATCTGTGGTGAAGTTACAATTTATTAAATTGATTCCTGAAATAATTAGTTACATGTATGTACTTAACAAGACAAAAAAGAAGAAAAAGAAGAAAACAAACCCTAAACTCTAAATTCTTAAGAAAATAAAAATGAGAGAAAAAAAAATTCTAAGTGAAACAAAATTCAACAAAATAAAAAAAATGGAACTATATATAAAAAATAATTCACATAATATCTATTTATAAATTTTGACTGAATGTTGAGTGTTAAAAAGAACTAGCATTGAAATGTTTAGTTGTTTTTACAAAACAATTATACAATTTGTGAGTGTTAAGATGCCTGTTTATGCGATTTCTGATTCTAATTAGACTTTGGATTTTTTTTTAACTTTTTAAAACCTTACCATTTGTTCTAATAATCAATAAATATGAATACTTTAGTTAAATAATTCTATAAAATAAGTCAAAATCTTTAGATATACAATAAAATAAATAAAAAATATAAACATTGATTATTTTATAAAATTAACTAATAAATCATATATATTAATGTTAAATAACCTCTAAAAACTAACACATTAATGTCAACTAATATCTTTATTAAAAAAAAATGAAGTTGTTGATTTTGTACGAAAGTTTCATAATTAGGTTGTGTCACAGTTACATTTTTCTTTTTCACCTAAAAGTTGTACATTTTGGTTCCAAACTGATCTATCGCAATTTGGACTCCTATTCGATGGAATGGTTTTGAAGAACTGCAAAAATGATTTGATCTGTTCGATACTTTTTTTGGTTACTTGAAACATTTATAAAGTAAAAAGATGATTCTATGCTTGGGGAAAATAAAAGGATGAATGTACGGTCGGTGTAATGTTCACATGTAACGACGTCTACGGTTCAATTTTTGCAATGCCGGGAGGAGGGGTGTCATGAGAACTTCTATTGCTATCAATTTATTTATTTATATAAACTACTTTTATTATTAATATAATAAAAAAATATTTTTGACATAAATTATTTAAAAAATAACAATAATAAATATAGGTTGTCATACAATTGATTCAGTTTTTATTTATTTATTTTAGTCAAACTCAAATACATGTTATTGAAAAAAATCATAATACAATAGTTTTGAAGTGATTAGAAAAAAAAAAATATAGATTAAATATTTTTCATAAATAAATAATATAAGACAATAATAACATATCAGGGTACAATTTAGATAATTATTTTAATAAGTTCTTATAAAGTAAAAAATTAAATAGTAATATGAAACATATAAATTTAAAATAATTTTTTTATAATTTTTTAATATAACTTCTCATAAATTTGTTGAGTATATAAGTTAATTTTAACTTATAAAAAAGTATTTAACTTTTATATTAATTTTTTATAAAAATTTTCTTAAACTGAGTCTAAATAATTAAAATAATAATTATAAAAATATCATTATAATTACTACTTAACTCACAATAATAAAAAATTTAAATTGGTATCAAAACTATTAAAAACTACAAGAGACGCAGTAACTAATGAACTTAAATGCCCATAAATAGACTTTAAAGAGTATTTAAAAATAAAATTCTTAAATTTATACTCAAAACTTTAAAATAGACTTTAAATATGGAAATATACCAAGAACTATAGAAAAGGAACCAACTTGTTTTGTTACAAATTGGAAGTAATATTTGTTAAATGAGTATAAATGATTTCTTTGTAGTTTGCTGGGTAATTCTAAGGTCCTCCTATTCATTGCAAAAAATTAAGGAATACATATCTTTTTGAGAAGCGTTATATCATTGTGAATTGTTGATGAAAATCTAATGGTCTAAAATGGAAGAGAGGTAACCGGTCATACAAATTACATTAAAAAAGGAGGAATCGGTAATTTAATGTAGACGGTCGTATTCATATTGTTTTGTATCCATTTGTTCTGTGAGTACTGTATACTTCATCAGTTACTACACAGTTATGTACAATAAAGCATTTCAATTTTCAAATCTGCAAAATTATTGTCTTTACAAACATTAAGTTATGATTTTGGTTACAATTTTGGTATACAATATTTAGTCAATGGGTGTGGAGAGTTTAAGGGTTGCATTATCTAAAATTTAAAAGGGTACTTTACGCAAGTTTATCTCAGATTAAGGATGGATAAAATAAGGTTAAAGAGGAAAATATCATGGGGTTTCGAAGATTCAATGTAAAATGTAGGATTCCTACATTTATGGTTCTTATACTATGTACATGAGTTAGATTAAACATGCGATGTGGACTGCTATGTTTGGAAGTAATAATTTTGATCATCGGTTAAGTAGAAAGACAATGTAGATAGTGGCAATGTATTTAAAAATTAGTTATGGATCATATACTATGTATATCGGTTAGAAAAAAAGTACGATGTAGACTGTAATATTTTGCAAGCAAAAAGGTTACAACATCAGTCTCATAAAAAGCTATTGCAGATAGTGGCGAGGTGTTTTAAAAATAGTAAATTGTACACCTGGTGGAGGTGAAGTCTGATGTCAAAATAATGTGATGTTTAAATTCAATTTTCAAAACAGATGTCCATCCAACCGATTTTGATGATGAAGGACATCAAAGTAATAACATCGGTCATGTAGAAAGCCAATGCAGATATCGGCGATGTATTTCAAAAACAGTGAATTCTACATCTGGTAGAGGTGAAGTTTGATGTGAAAAAAATGTAAATTTTGAACATCCATTTTCATAGTGGATGTCCATCCAACCAATTTTGATGATGAAAGACATCAAGGTAATTTCATAGGAAGTTATAGTGGATTTAGATTTATTTGTGTGACGTGTAAAACGTGCATGGTGTTTTAGGTGACATGCAGTTAAAAGAACTTGGTCTCAACCGTCCACCTTCTTTGACATTTATGATGAGTCATGTAAAAATAGCAGAAGGAGGAATATTAAACGTGGTCATTTGCAGCTGACCTTTCGAGTTTGGAGCTCATATTCGAGGGTTTAACTATTAAGAAGATAAATGATCAAATATTTAAAGAAAAGTGCAACTAAAAGGTAAATTCTTTCTTTCTCTCGTGGACAACCAAAGTCCAAGTTTTTGGTAAATGAAATGTTGTATAACTTTGGTTTGCTGACTTGGTTACCTGCCACGGGCCCCTTTGAAACCAACTAAGTCAAGCTCAATTACACAAAACTAAAGGAAAAGTTCTGAAAAGAATAAGGTTTAAGTTAGTGTTCAATGAGCTCGAGATAGCTGCCTGACGAGAGAAAAGGACACCCGGTACAGTTTTTTTTGCCTCAGCCCCTGGTTACACCAAAGCACACCACACATGAAAAAACTTTACTTACTATAGCTTGCTTATTGGTGAAATAAAAAATTTCATAAGGAAACAAAGACCTGAGAAGGTGAAATAAATAGAAAAAGCTGACTGAGTCTTGTGTTCATTAATGTCCCCAAATCCCATGTCTTTCTTGGTTGGACCAACCCAACCGGTGATTTCAAATTCCAACAAGTCTATCTTTTTTTGGGGGGGCAGAGCACGTTTACAAACAAATAAATATATCATGAATGAGCAGGCGTTAGTTCTCTATGGACATCCAACGTCCAGTGATGTCCAATTTATGCTATCGGATACTAGGAATATGTCTTTAGATAGTCTGTCAAGTACCTCTTCCACTAGGTCAGATGCGGAAAGCGCTCCACCTGACTTTGAGGGGAGACTTAATAGAATCTCTAATGAATACACTAAGTGGGTTAGGAGAAGCGGGAGGCAATTACCTCCCGAATGGACGATGCCCGCTTAATACTACTAGCCTTGTTCGGGCTGTTATTTCCGACGATCGGATTGACAGTCCGGGCTTTCTGACAAATGACTATTATGATGTCATGTTACATGGCCAAAATGCTTGGTTATGCGAACACTTTTTAGATCTAATCAACTATGTCTTCTAGTTCCGAAAATGTGAAACAAAAGTTTTTCGAGAAAAGGTCCCATCCTTCAATATCATGATTGGGTCGACCAGGCCAGATCATGAGTGAATAGAAAATCGAAAACGTACATAGCTGTTCCAGCTGAAATACTTGGAATAATTCTACCACTTCTACTAGGAGTAGCCTTTTTAGTGCTAGCTGAACGTAAAGTAATGGCTTTTGTGCAACGTCGAAAGGGTCCTGATGTAGTGGGATCGTTCGGATTGTTACAACCTCTAGCAGATGGTTTGAAATTGATTCTAAAAGAACCTATTTCACCAAGTAGTGCTAATTTCTCCCTTTTTAGAATGGCTCCAGTGGCTACATTTATGTTAAGTCTGGTCGCTCGGGCCGTTGTACCTTTTGATTTGGTATGGTATTGTCAGATTCGAACATAGGGCTACTTTATTTGTTTGCCATATCTTCGTTAGGTGTTTATGGAATTATTACAGCAGGTTGGTCTAGTAATTAGGGGGCGGCCGTTCGGTCGCCTATGATACTAGGACCAATAGGTAAAAAATGGGTTTGTGCCGCAGGTGTTGAACGATCTACTCTACACAGGTGTGGGCTTACAGGGCTAGGGCTCATAAAGCCTTTCTTTCATTCAAAAAGAGGGCCCTGGTCGGTCACTTTTCCGGGCCGGGATCGATAGATAAGTGGAAGTCATAAAAAAGAGATCTTTCTCTTCGCACCTAAGATCAAGAGGAAGGGTAGCTTGTCAAGCTGGCCTATATAAAATATCTTTTTCATTATTATAGAATTTTTTTTTTAATATATATTTATAAAGATTCACTGTCTTTTAACCGGCTGTTCTTCTTTGTCAACGCTACTAAGGACCTATGGGTTAGCCTACCCTACTAATGTATTGTATAGTAGGGTATAGTATAGTAGGCGAGCGAGTTAGCGAAGACGCTTAGGCTAATAGATAAGAGAGCGTCAGTGCGTAGCCTTCATTCTACTACGCTACGCAAAGGTTACGAAGTCACTTAGCTCGACGTTAGGAGAGTCAAGGGGGAAGGCCATACCTACATAGAAGAACCTTCGCTTACTTTCTAAGGTCTAACCTTTAGCTCCCCTACTGAAAAGGGGCACAAAGCCGCTTTGCACCACTGATAGACAGACTACTAAAGATTCAATTCATTCAAACCCTACTTAGTTTCGCAAGCCTTTGTCATTGTCAGTCAACTAAATAAGGCCTGAGGTCCCCTGCGAATCCATAAATCTGAGGAGCATGCCACAACACAAAAAAAGGATGGTCCCCTATGCATTTCTTTCTTTCTAGAAGGAAAAAAAAACAAGTACCCCCATGACTATATTAATAACTGATTTTTCCTTATGATAAAAATGTTGACTATTTGTATTGTGCAAATGACGGATATACATTAAACTATGACTCCAAAACCCAGATTCATGTTATGAAGCAATTATTGGCTTAATAGGCCTTTTACCGGTAATCATCCCATACAAATTATGAAACTAAAAAAATTTTGTTGAAGGAGAAGAGGAAGGGCAGTGGGCCTGACCCATGGGTCCAAGCAATATTGCGTTATAACTTTCAATGATATTTGTTGGAGGAATGTATGAGCAACAAGACGTGTCAGGTGGACGTGTCATGTGGGTCATAAAATTAATAGGATACTTAAACCAATGCTATTGAACCATTGTCTTTAATATGGCAGTTGAGTGGGCTAACAGCCTGACTTGACATTGTTTGGAAATCGTAAAGTCATTCACTGATTCACATGTGCGCCTAATTACGTGAGTCATCATGATTGGTAGACAAATATCTCTGTACCTTATGCACAAATAAGTGAAGAAGCGTACCAACGAATCATGAAACAGTGCAAATTGTAAAGTCGATTTAAACGTAACTGCATCAGTGTGGGTCTTTTCATACATATATATTTATTATAGTATGTAAAGTGTATTAATTGAAGAAAATTCCATTAAGTCGCCAATGCATAAAATATTAAAACAACATATGAAAGTTCATTAATAGGGTGAAACTACAACATAAAACGAAAAAACTATTTGACACAATTTTGATTCTACTTAAGAGAGCAGAGTGAAGCATTAGACATGGCTACTATTAGATATTCGATATACATTGAACAAGGAAATGATGCTGACAATGGGATATTTCGGTATCAACTGAAGCCTTATGAGGTAAGTATGAGTTTATTAATTTCGGCCACTTTGGTTTATATAATTACAACAAAGACATATATGAGAATCATAACATAGTTCACATATATCAAAATTATGACATTTCTAATATGGTTGAAATAGTTTATTCTCTCTATTTATATTAATTTTAAAAAATGACATAGTATTGAGTTAATATGTTTTCGATTTTTGTAAAGTAATGTTATATATTTAAAACGGTGTTCGGAGTTTGTAGGATGATATAATTATAAATGGTGACTTTTATAAGAAATGACGTTATGAACTTGTCAACAAAGAGGTAAAGCTTAAAGATCCTTTGGGTAACATAATGAATGTCACAATTTATGAAAGACGTAATATAGGTTTTATGAAAAATGCAAGAAGGTTGGTAGCAGAAACGTATTGCCTTGTGTGTTTGTAGGCAAGTGTACCTATCAAAAAGTAATAAAGGATTTTCAAAAATTGTTCCTAAGTTATCGTTCCACAAAGATTATTTTTAAGTACCAAGAATAACTTGATTCGATTGTTTAAACGTAACAGGATTATAATAGAGCAAAAATAGAGCTTAATGTTAACAATAAATTAAAATAACAGTAATACGATGTATAAGAGAGATCAGATGAGATGACCTTAGGACATATGGTTCATCTACTACACTTCTTTATGTTCTAATTAATTTAATCATGATATTGGTATCCAAATATTTGTCAACCACTCATAATTAGTTCTATTAACACACAGTGATTATACAATGTTAATATTTTTTTCTTTAAGCAAACACTCCCAATGATCATGCAAGGTAATTGGTCGAGAAAACATGAAGATCCTATGAGTTTGTTAATTTAATAACGGCTGAAAGAAAGGAATTAAGTATGATTAACCTAGCTCTTTATCTCATTTTATCCTATAGTTCCGTTAATTATACGTGGTACGAACGCCTACAATGCAACTAACTATGGAATATTAAGGGTGATCAAATCTTAACATACACAATATAATCTAATAGAATAAAACCAAACATTAAAAGAAAACTAATACCAATATTAAAGTAAAAATCACATAAAGTTCATAGTAGGATTTGTCATAGCCCTAGCTATGGGTTTAGTTACTCATAACAAAATAAACTATGAAAAACGTGATAAATAAACTCATAACTACAAAGGAAAACTCAAACAAAAGAAACTCAGAAAGGTAGAAGACGAAGAGAGTTCTCATTCTTTGAAGAGGCGCTCAATCACTTGCTTGGACTCCAAGGGGAAGCTTGTCATCCTTACCAATGGTCTCCAATGACACTCAAAGATGAGTATGTTTAGAAATAAGAAGGGGAAGAAGGTGTGTAGAGAAGTGAAAGTGTCAAGTGTGGAGCATAAGACCTCTTTATATAGGCTGTGCCCTGAGTTTCCAGTCGGTTGAGCTCTATCTTTTCAAATCAGTTTTATCCACAATCAGAATCGCTCCAAATCTTCATATCTAAGTTTAAATTTTAAATTTTAAATTTAAACTCAACTTCACATAGAACTGTCAAAGACTAAAAATATCTAATTTTTATCCAGAATATCTCCATAATGCACTAATAATAACTTTCAGTTAAACTGCAACAATTAATAACATAATTAGTGTAAATATATATAAAATAGAGTTTAAGTGTATAAATATAAGTTATAAAATATATCAAAATATGAACTTATCAAGGTGTATTTTTTGTGACATGTTCTTACGCGGGTGATAAAGTTTTTGATATAATAATCATCAATGTTGAAAACGTCCAAATTGAATACAATCATAATGACAACGTCAATCACAATGTCCCCCTACTGTTTCTATTTCGGTTGAAGTTTCGTATATGCTGGTGTGGAAACGAAAAGTTTTCTCATCTTTGGCTTCTGGCAGGAATATTCTGGTATGTTCCTTTGATTGTATTTCCAATCACATTTCGTTTATCATTCAATTTTTTATCTAGCGGATTATATGTGCCATAGTTTATAAATAAGAATTATTTGTGTTAATATATTGCAGCCTCTTCCTTATAACTATGTTCGTGAGGTGATGGTAGCAGGACAAACACACGTGATTTTAAAAGAAAATGATGGACTTATCATTTCATCTTGTGAAATATTATATGGGAAGAAGACAACCCAGAGGTATTTGGGTGTAGGATGATACAACTTTTGTAGAGCACTAAAATTGATACTAGGAGATGAAATATCATTTTGGCACTTTGGAGTGCAAAATGAACTTGAAGTTCGTATAACTCATGCATCACAAATAATTACAATTACGTTTAACTTTTATTTTTTTGTGACTTGTTTTATGATTTTTTTTTGAAGAATTTTGAATTGAACTCATATGCAATATGTGTGATTAAACAATTATTTTTTTGCACTTTATGATCACTTGTAACGTTGCAATTTAAGGGTTTTGTTTGTTTATTAACATAAAACAATTTTGCAAATCTAATGCTTTAATAATGCTTTAACATAAGTGGTTTGAAATTTTATATTTGGTTTAATAATGCTTTAAACCGTAATTGTAGTTGAAACTGATTTTAAATAATGGTATATATACGTACATATACACATACATCATTTTTATATAATGTATGAAACCTCATTCGTATTGAAATCTACAAGTATTGAAAGAGACGCTAGGCTCGTACTTGTTCAGCAATGTATTTGTCACACCAAAGCATGCTGTGTTGGTGTGGGCCGGGCTCTAAAAAAGCCCAAAATCCTGGAATTCTATGCTGCTGCTTTGTTGTGTCTAACTTCCAGCTTCTAAATTTGTAAATGTGGTCTTTATTTAAAAATTTATGTCTAAAATTGCTAATTAGTTTCTTAAAGTTATTATTTCATTATCAAAACTTTTATCATGTTTGTTTTCATAAAAAAATATTTTTAAGAAATATATTTTCTTAATAAAATTATATTTATTAATAAAAGTTTTATAATGTAAAATAGAAAAACAATAACTTAATTGAAGCAATAGTAATTTTTTAGATAAAATATGGCCATAAAAAATATAATTTTTTATTCAAATGAAAAAAAATTAAGATATCTCACAAGAAATTTGTAGTCCTGAACATATTTTTTAGTAAAATGAAGTAACATTTTAATAAATTTTTATAAAATCATAAGAGGTTGATAAATAAAGTTATAAAATACAAAAATGTCAAAAGTTATTTGAGAGATTATGTTTTTAAAGTATTTATTGTGCATTGCTATGTGTAGCAAGTGAAAATAAGAATTAGTAGAAGACTATTTTATTAAAAGGAATGGACCAAGTTATTTTTTAAAATATTTCAAGTTC